CGGATAAAGTCAGGTCAAGTCAGGGCAGGCAGTTTTAGGAGTGAGTGGGAAGTGGATGGAAACTCAGGAGGAAGTGAGTGGGTCCTTTAGCAAGAAGTGGTGGTGGGAAGTGGGTGGGAAAATTGAGTGGGAAGTGGGCAGGACTGGGTGGAAAGTGGGTGGGAAGTCAGGAGGAAGTGAATGGGAACTTTTAGGAAGAAGGAAGTGAGTGGGAACTATTAGGAAGCAGGAAGTGGGTGAGAATTGAGTGGGGTCTGCGTCTGGAAGGGGAGGGGGGTGAGTGGGACCTGAGCGGGAAACGAGTGGGAATTGAGCTGGAAGTGAGTGGGAACTTATGTGGGGAAGGAAATCGGAAGTGAGTGACGAGGAAGGAAAGGGAGAGGGAGACAGAGACTGGCAGATAAAGAGAAAGATTGAGATAGACAGACAGGATAAAGAGACAGAATAAAGGGAGAGGGACGAACGGAAGGAGAAAAGGATTTGAGCGGAAACTGAACGGGAAGAGAGTGGGATCTGAGTGGGAAGTAAGTAGTAAGTGAGCGAGAAACGAGTGTGAATGGAGTGGGAAGTGGAAAGGAAATAGCAGGTGATCGGAAGGTGAGTGTAAACCAAACGGGAATGGAAAATGAGTGGGAAGTGACTAGGAAACGGAGGGGAAGTGAACGGCAAGGGGGCGGGAAGCGTAAAATTCCCATTAGCATGAGGCAGCATAAATTGTTCTCTCCACCCTCCTCCACCCTCCCCCTCCCGCCATCCTCAAAACCAACACCACCCTCCTTCTCACCACCATCATTCTTACCACCTCCACCATTCACACCAACAATATTCTCATCCTCACTGCCACCATCGTCATCACCACATCGTCATCACCATCATCTCTACCACCCCTCACCATCCTCACTGCCACCATCACCACTACCCTCACCATCATCAATATCCTCACTACCACCATCACCACCCTCACTCCACATCCAGCCACCAGCGTCACCACCAGCCTCACACAGCACGCGCACCACCACCCTCCCCGGCTTTTTTTTTTCTGTTGTTCTCTTATCCTTATCCTTTGTTCTATTCTACTCTTTATCTCACTCTGCTGATATGTGATGTATATGCTGTCGTCTGGTTTTTTTTAATTGCTTACATAATTATAGTATTAGTATGTTTTTTTTTTTTTTTATTTTATGTATATTCGTATATATCTGGTTTTTTTTTATTTTTTTTTTTTTTTTATTTTTTTTTATTTATTGTTATTGTTTTGTGTTTTTTTTTGATGTGTATAGTGTGTGTGGTGTGCGGTTTTTTTTTTTTTGTATGTATTTTTTTTATGTATTGGTTTTTTGTTGTTTTCTTTTTATTTTTGTAGTGTGTTATCTGCTGAGTTATTCTATATTTAGTGAGTATGTGATATTTTTTAACTTGCTTTTCTTGGTTTTTTTTTCTTTTTGAGTGTTTTTTTTTTTTTTTATAAACTGTCCTCTCTTTTGTTGTTTTATGTCTATGTATTTTTTTGGTTTTTTTTTTTTGATTGGGTATATGTATTGTTGTATTGTGTGTAATTGTGTATTTATATGGTCTGTGTAGTTGTCTTTGGTGTGTGTTTTTTAGGTGTTGCTTTTGTAGTGTAAGAGGTTTTTTTGTTTTTTTATTTTTTTTTATGTTTTGTTTGTTGTTTTTTTTTTTTTTTTTTTTTTTTTTTTCTTTTTTTTTTTTTTTTTTTTTTTTTTTTTTTTTTTTTTTTTTTTTTTTTTTTTTTTTTTTTTTTTTTTTTTTTTTTTTTCTGTTTTTTTTTTTTTTTTTTTTTTTTTTTTTTTTGTTTTTTTTGTTAATTTGTGTGTTTTTTTTTTTTTGTTTGATGGTTGTATGTGGGGTTATTAGTGTATTTTGTTGTTTAAGTTTTTGTTATTGTTGTTGTTGAGGTGTAATTTGTATTATAGTGTGTGGTCTGTGTGTTATTTTTTAATAGTTCGTATGTGTGTTATTTGTTTTGTTTTTGTTGTTATTGTGTTGTTGATGTTGATTTTTTTTTTCCTTTTGTGAGAATATGTGTTGTGTATATGTTATGTGCTGATGATATATGTATATTTTAGTGTATGATGTAATGCGCCTGTATTAGTTTGATTTTGGTGTTTTATATTGTGAGTGTATTGTGTGTATATGGTATATTGGTTATTAGTGATATATGTATTTGTTGTGTATTTTTATGTTTTGATTGGTTTATATTGTTTATGGTATTTTAGGTAGGTAGTATATTTGGTTATGTCTTTTGTATATTTGTATTAATGATATAAGTGTATAGGATTCTAGTTGTATGGTTATTGTGTTGTTATTGATTTTTTTATTGTCTGTTTAATTATTCTTTTTTTTTTTTTTTTTTGTTTTTTTGTTTTTTTTTTTTTTTTTTTTTTTTTTTTTGTGTGATGTTAGGTTTTAATGTGTATGGTTTAGTATTTTTCTGTGTTATTGATATTGTCAGTTATGTTATGTTTCTATATTGTAATTTTTTTTAGGTTATGTTAATTTAGTATATTATGTTATCATGTATATGAGTATGGTTTTTTTTTTTGATTGTTTAGTGTAGTCTATTGAGATTGTAGTGTAGGTGATGTTTGTTGAGTGTTTATGGTATGAATAGTGTTATGTGAGTGTCTGATTAAATATTTGTCTATGTTAGTGATAGTTGTTAGTATAGTATCGTATTGTTGTTGATTAATGATATATATGATATATGTGATTTTATATTATGTAGTCTATTATATAGTTGATTTGATGATTGATTTTTTTTGATTTTGTTAGATTGTATTGATTTTTTTTTTTTTGTATTTTTTGTTTTTTTGATTGTTTGTATGTTTTTTTGTTAGATTTTTGATGATTTGATGTAGATGTCATGATTTTTTTGTATGTGTTTTGATTTTTTTTTTTGTATGATTTTTTTTTTTTTTTTTGATGGATTTGTTTTTATTTTGGATTGTATTTGATGTATTTTTTTGATGTTTTTTGATTTGATTTTGATGTATTGTATGTATGATTTTTTGATTGTATTTTATGATGATTGTAGTATTAGTAATATATGTTTTATTTTTTTTTTTTTTTTTTGTTTTGAGTGTGTAAGTATGTTATATAGTATATTTATGGTGTATGTATATTGTGTATTTTTTTTTTTTTTCTTTTTTTTTCTGTATTTTTTTTTTTTTTTTTTGTTTTTTCTGATCTTGATTGCTTGTGTTTCCTCTGTACTATAATCTGATCTTGTATTTATTGTATCAAATTCTAGTATTCCATGTTATATAATCTATTATATATTCTTATTTTGATTGTATTGTCTTTTTCTTCTTTTTATTTTCTTCTTACTAATATTTTTTTTCTTTTTGTCTAATGTGCTGCATGTCTTGGTTTTTTTTTTGTATTTTTTATGTAGGTGTGTTGTTTTTTTGGTTTTTGTTGTTTTTTGTTGTATTGTGTGTAGTTTGTTGTTGTGTGACGTCGTCGGGGGAGTGAGGAGAGGGGAGATATGATTAAATATTGATATATGATTGTGCTAAATGCCTTGTGCTTTGAGTGAAAGAACTCGTGGATTATGTTTGATTGGGATTAAGAAGATCGCCGCTTTTTTGTGATATCTGTGTCGATCTATGCGATCTCTGGGATGGTATGTTGATTTAGTCTGTTTTGTAGGTTGTAGGTTGTATGGTTGATAGTTGTATAGTGTATGGTTGGATTTGTGGATTAGGGATTATGTTTGTATTGGTGATTTGTGATGTATGGGAGGTTATTGTTGTTATGAGTATGTATTGTGATTTTTGTGGATTGGTGTGTGTGTATGGGATTATGTATATGTCATGGATTTGTATGTGTTTGTAGTGGAAGGTTAATGTCTTTTGTATTATATGTGTCATGTATGTATCTGTATGGGATTAGGTTTTAGTTTTATGCGATAGGCATTGTATGTATGTGATTCGTGTGATATGGAAGGATATGTGCATGTAGTATCAGGATTGGTATAGGTTTTTTTTTTAAGGCTTTTGTTATAGGTTGAGGAGGGTTTTAATGTATGTTATTAGTGTGAGTGTTGTATTGCGGCGCATTTATTTGGTATATGTGTTTTTATGATAGGGTATTCTTGATGATTTTGGGTATTTTTAGGTAATGTTTTATGTTAAATTTTTTGGCTGTTTATTGTATGAGTTTGAGTATGCTTTTATTGTGTGTTTTTAGTGATAATGTCTGCTGCTAGCGTATTAGGGTATGGATATGTTTGTATATTGTGAAGGGTAGGTATTGTAGTATATTATGGTAGGGTAAGTGTTGTATGTAAGCTGATACGATAGGTATAGTAAGGAATGAGTGTAGTGAGTGATGATAGGATATGTATTAGTGAATGATAGTGATAAGTGATGAGAGTCGGGAGGAGGAGGAGGAGAGAGAGGCAGTGTGAGGAGATCCAGGTGTTAGTAGAGGAGGAGGAGGAGGGGCGGCAAGAGAGGAAAGGAGAGCGAGAGAAATTGGAGGATGGAAGTAGACAAAAAATGACCAGAATAAAAGATAAAGATTGAGATAGACAGGATAAAGGAGACAGAAAAAGAAGGAAAGGACGAAAGAAAAGAGAAAAGGAGCGAAAGAGAAATCTTTCCCCTGCGAATTCCCGCTGACGTCGAGGCCTCAGAGTGTCAGCCGAGAAGTGATTCCTGACAATGGCAAATCAGAAGGTCGTCGCCGCGGGTAGACTGTCAGCCGAGTAGCGGAGGTTTGCTGACGTAAAGATATTAAATTGTTGCCAATACAGTTAAGCTGTTGCCAATACAAATATCTTGTTGTTGTCAATATAGTTAACTCGATGTCAATAACGATGTCAATAACTTGAGGGTGCCAATAATGGCGAATGGTCAATAACAAGAAGGTAAGCTTGGAGAGCACGCGAGCGCGGGGGGGGGGGGGCGGTGCAAGCGGATGAGGGGAGCTGAGTTTTACGGTTGTAGTCGCGCGTGGTCGAGGTCGGTCGCGTGATGCCCGTGTGTGGCGTCTGCCGTGGCGGGTAGGTGTGGAGTGGAAGGGGTAGAGGGACGATGGGATGGAGGGGTGGGAATAGTAGGGAAGAGGGTAGGCGGAGTTGGGATGTACCTAGTGAGGGAGGTGCGGAGAGGAGTGACGTGATTGCTGTGAGAGCGGGAAATAAAGGTGCGCGGGAAGATGGGAGGGAGGGGGAAATCTAGGAGGAAAGGTTGGGGGAGAGGGACGAGGGAGAGGCGCNATATATATATATATACATATATATATGTATATGTATATTTATTTATTTTTTCTTAATCTTTACAGGGATATTCCAGTCAGGATATATTTGAAGAATATGAATTTAAAAAATAAATATGAGACTCCAGTGAGGATACACTTGAAGAATGTATATGCTACTCTCACCCTTGCTACCATAGCAGCCTCTGTTGGTGGCTATGCCCACATGTTCAGCACATTTATTAGTTCTGGATTCATGACTTTTCTGAGTGCCATTTGGTATTAATATTACTCGTATTTACACCTTATGATGGCAAAAACCAGCTGCAGAGACTTTCTCTCCTTGGTATCTTTGCCTTCTTGACTGGCTGTAACCTTGGCCCATTTTTGAATCTGGCTGTGACTATCAACCCTGCATTGGTAAGTGAATCTATTAAGGATACACATCGTCATTTTATTCATATAGTTATGTCATTAATATTTGAACGTTTAACTATATTTATATTGACTGACTTTTAATTTATTTTATATATATATATATATATATTTTTTTTTATAGGTTTTGCAAGCTCTGCTCGGCGCAAGTGTGATATTTGCTTGCTTCTCCCTATCAGCTCTCTATGCTCCTGATGGTCATTACCTCTATCTTAGAGGTACACTGATGTCGGTATTGTTAACCCTCATTTGGGTTTCGATATATAATATCTTCTTTGGCTCTCAACTCCTTTTTAAGGTAAGTCTAATAATGGAGATTGTCTTTTTTTATTATAAATCAATGAGTATTTATTATTCTGATAATTATTATTTCTATGCTTTTTATGTCTGTCTTATTTTTTTTTTAGGCAAATTTGTACATTGGTCTAGCAGTCATGTGTGGTTTTATAGTCTATGACACTCAGTTCATTGTTGAGAGAGCACGCCGAGGAGATATGGACTATGTGATGCACAGTTTGAATCTATTCGTTGACTTTGTTGGAGTATTTTGGCGCCTTCTCATGATCCTTACAAATAAGGTAATTTCTTATAGTATAGAAAATGGTAAACATGTACAATCGCCTTATTACAAATATATGATAAGAGAAGAATTTGCTATGAGTCCATATCCAGTAATTATAGACGTTCAACTAACGTTGTATTTTTTTTTTCAGGAGGCACAGAGCAAGAGGAAGAAAAAAAGCTGTAATAAATAAGGAAATATAACATATTACATTACATAATATTGTTTATCGGGTATTTGATATAATATTGCTTATCGAATACTTGTAAGGAATAAACCATAAGGTTATCATGATTTTTTTTAATAAAAATTTTTGGCAAAAATATTTTTTTATTGACCAGACAAAAAGTATTGTTAATTCTGATTATTTTCATTGAAAAGAAACTTATTTTTGTTAGACATATCCAATAAGTTATTTTGAGACACAGGTGAAGCATTTATTTGAAGATCTACTTTACTGTCATTTTTACTGTTAATCATTTCAAATACATCTCTCTCTTTGTAAGTATTTGACTGATCATGGTCGGGAAGGTAGATGTGTTGATCATTCAATCGGAGAAACAATTCCTCCAGGAGAGAGTCAAAGGAGAGCATCTCCATATTTTTACTCAAGAGGTATATTAAGAAAAGATCGCCAATCTGTAACTTTTTCGAGACGTTTTGGTCCAAGACTTTCTTGTAGTGCAGCATACTCGCAGGCTTTTGGAATAGCAATGTCGACCTGATGACGGGAACGTAAAACATCAACAGACGATAGATAAACGCCGTTATACTAATGACAGTCAATACAATAAACCAAAACCACATTATAACATAAATCTTTTCGTTAATGATATTTAGGGCGAGCACACACATGAGATCGTGGATCTCAACTGTACCCGAAGGCCCATATGTATGAAAGGAAACACTTGGTGACTCGCGGAAATATCACAATCATCGGGTCTGTTCGTTCTTCTTGATTGGTCTCCGTGAAGCTCAGTACGTCCGTCCCATACGTGAGAAACATCCCACCTAAAAATCTATTCATAAACCACATATTGAACAAACAATTTATTATATTGAGCAACTCGCAGAAAAAAAACTTGATGGCATAAAAGTTGTGGTGATGAAGAGAATTGCATAGATAGTCGACCAGCAGTTGAATCTTATCGCGGCGTTCCTCTTTATTCATGATGGGGGTGGCTAGACCCATAATAATAGATTCCAGCTTGCCATTTTCCCATGTTTTCCAAAGCCAATGAGGTGCGTAGAACATCAAACCCTACAAGGAAAAAAAAAAAGAGATATTTAAGTATGTCATATTTATATATTATATATATATATTCTCTCTCTCTCTGTATATGTGTATGTATTTATCCATTTATGTTATACATACCTGTAAGAAGAGTACAAACGGTACCCATTGATAGTAGGCATGGTGCGTTTTCGTGTCATCTGGTAAACTAGGGCCAACGCCAGGGTATGCCAAACCTGTCCCTTAATTTCATAAAGGAAGAGAAAAGAAACTTGAATCTTTTTATAAACTTGAATCTTTAACATTATACAGTATATTATATATACAATGCAATATATTATAGTATGAATATTATCAATTATGTGAGTAATCTTACCTCTTCCGTAGTCTTTATCAATATGCCTTGGTAACGTAAATGTCGTATGGATCCAACAATATGTGTTTACGACCTTATCTTTTAGTTTCGAGTTGTTATCATGCATGCAACTATCGGGAGAAAGTAAAACAAACCATTATATATATATATATATATATATATATATATATATATATATATATATATATATATATATATATATATATATATATATATATATATATATATATATATATATATATATATATATATACTTACTTGATGGGATCTCCGACTAGACTATTGGCGCTAACTAAAAGACAAAAACTAAAGAGCATCATTGCCGTAAAGCGATAATGTAGTTTGAAAACGGCACTATAAATATCCGCTGCATTGTGATTAGTTTTTACGAGTCCTCGGAGACCTGTTAATAATCCTACTAACACCATTTTGTTTTAACATGTAGGATAAACAAGAAAACATAAATATTGTATATATTTACAATATCACTGACTAGATAAGTGTCAATATTCTAGTTAATAAATATATATATACATATATATATACATGTGTTATTAAATCAATCTATTTTAAAGTATATCATGTTTATTTTCTCCCCTTTATTTTTTATACAATTTCAATGGGTGTCTTTGTTTGAACATTAATATTTTATAGGGTACTTGTACAATTCGCAGTTTTGATTTGTGTTTTTTTTCTATTTCTAATCTGGTACGATAAGAAAGGTGATTTTCATTTTTCCTAAATTCAATACAATATTCAAGCGGTGGTCCTTTTTTTCTAATTTCTTTCACCATATCTATTTCTCCTAATATGTCTAACATCATTTGTTTTATACTAGTTGATAAATAACAAGTAATAACATACTTTCGAATTTGGTAACTTGTCATTCTCTAAGTATAGGTGTCTATTGGTGATAGTTTTTTCAATTCTATTGAAATCTACTATAACTTCATTATTTTCAAGATCTATAAACTTTATTAAAACTTGGTGATATTCCATATTCTCATCATTTAATATAATTTGAAATTGCTCATATAAATAGAGGCATATGTTTTTTTCGGAATTTGATTTGTTGCATATTATATTGCTAATAGTCCGGTTTTTCATCTCTAATTCATGTACCGTTTGATTGTATTGTTTCAATAAACTTGGAGGAATCATATGGTAGTTGCAATTGACCTCTTCCTGCTGCTGCCGTTGCCGACATGGAGGATGATGGATCGAGTTCTCGGTCCCATGCTCTGATAAAAACCTTGGATCCGCCTGTTTGGGCGGACGATGGTCCGTGTTGCTGTTGTTGTGATATGTTATCCGTTAGTTGGGTTTGTGATTTTCTTTTCACGTCTATTTTCCTCATAGAAGAAACATTGTTTCGTTTTGGCGATAGTACGTGTTGTCTGTTTCGTTTTTTTTTAATAAAAACTTTGGGAACTTGCAATTTGCTATATCGTTGTGATACATCATTTGTTGTTTTTGTGTTTGTCTTTCTAGAATTGGTGAGGAAGCATTACCCCTTATTTCAAAATTATAAGTTTCTTTCCTCATTCCAAAGGGATGGGAAAAAGAAGCTATTCAATTGTAATCTCTTTAATTTTTTAACATATATATCTTATGATTTTTTTTAACAGTATATAAAAAAATGTATGGTTATTATTTATTTACATTCAATTTCATTTACAATTATTATTTGTTTATACTTGTTATAAACTTTAGCTTGATACTTATAATTGATTATAAATATCTATAAAGTATTTTATACTTGTGGGTTTCATGTTGTGTTTGATCAGGGTCTAATTCTATTCTTATTCTATAAGAAAATAGACGATCTATATCTCTTTTAAAATTTACAACAATCCTCTGCGAAGGACCATATTCCCTAAGACTCATCATATGTTCATAATATCTAAAATTTCGACCATCATTTTCTTTACAGTCCATGGTTGTCTATATATAAATGTATCTATATTTGGCTCTATATTCTGTACTTGATACATATTAGAAGAAGTAGAATATACATACACTGTTGATACCAATTTGTTATTATCATAGGACACAACATCTCTAAATGAAATAAAGATACTGTGTTCATCTCTCGTGTCTCTTAGTATCTTATCCAAGTCTTCTTGAATTTTAGATAATACACTTTTTTCAAAAAATGTTCGTTCACATATATTCTTATTCAAATTGTTTTCAACTTCTGACACTTCTAACGCTAATGCGTCTGGGTAATATTGCTGTTGATGATTATCATAGTTATGATAATCTTCTTGTTGTTGCTGTTGTTGCAGCTGTAAAACAGCTTCTCCTTCAGTGGTGATTTGAGATCCATGTTGTTGTTGTTGTGGTGGTGGCAATGTTAGGTGACGGTCTATATTTTCCAAGATTGGGAGTTCACTATAGTGTTGTTGTTGAATAATCTCGTTATCGTTTTGAATTGTATTAAAATCCTGTCGTTTTGACGATAACTGATCTGTAATCTGTTGCTGTTGTTGCGGCTGCTGTTGCAATTGTAACATGGTATATTCGTGGTCTGTCCAAACTAAATCTTGAGATCTGGATCTCATATCATAGATTTGTTCTGGTTGTTGTTGATCCTGTTGTTGATATTCCTGTTCTTCTTTATGTTCTTGTTCTTCTTTATATTCTTGCTGATCCTGTAGTTCTTGTTGATCCTGTTGTTGATATTCTTGTTGCTCTTGTTGTTGTTCTTGCTGTAACGTATCTGTTTTTGGGGTATCATTATTAAATTCATCTTCATCATCATCGTCCTTTTCATTAATAAATTCATCTTCATCGTCATCGTCCTTTTTCAAGACTTGGAAATCGCCATGCTTTTTTTTCTTGATTGAGTATCGTAGATGGCTTATTTTCCTCTTGTTTCTCGTCATCTCCTCCAATCTTGGCTTTCTCTTCCTTTTTTGTAGTTTGTAGTTTGAAATTTGTAGTGAGGCCTTTCTTAATCTCATGGTAAGGTGGCTCTTTGGGAAGAAGAGAAATATATGCTCTTAGCTCCAGTATTCGTTTAAATTTATATTTTTAGATTTATTTAATTATATTTTCCTCCCACATAATAGGTGAAAGATGTAACGATATTGTTATTATTATTTATTTATACTCACCGTTTATAAGAATAAATCTTCTTTTTTTTAATTGTATATCTCTTTCTTGGTACGATCATGTTAACATATTATACATGTCATCCTCATCATTTCATATGGATTGACAATATTAGCACTTTTGCTGCATATTTTTTCTTCAGTATTTTTGCACATTTCTTCATTTCTTTTTTGCGTTTCTTTCATAATATTATTCTCGTTACATATATCCTCATTTTTTTTTATTTCATCATTTAACTCTTTTAGCTTCGTGTTATTTAGTTTTATTCTAACATTTAGCATCGTTATTGTGTCATTTAACATCGTTATTGTGTCACTTATTATTGTTATTATATCACTTATTATTATTATTGTGTCATTTATAGTCTCATTCAGAGTTGACGAGGATGGCGTGATGGTCTTGGTGGTCTTGTCGGTTAATGTAAGCAAGTTTTCATTATCATTCATTCCTATTTTTGTTATTGATATCACCATCGTGATGGTGCTGTGATTTATTAGTTGTGCTCATTTTTATTTTATCTATATATAGATATTGTTCTATCAACCAGAGAGTTGTTTTTAGACCATTGTTTCTCTGGTTAACCCCGACAAGGACAAATATATTTATAAGGACAATTAAGTATATTTTTTTACTTTGATGGGTTTTAATAACCTGTTTGATAGGTTCTAATAGCCTGTTCAGTTAAGCACATATACATTTTTGTATATTCTCTCCTTTGAGATTAGTAACGACGGATAAAGATAATGGGGTACTCGTCTATAGAAACACCCAACGATCTAAACTTCATGTCTAGCCTGCGTTTTCTTGAGATAGCAAAATCAAGAAAAGACGATGAATCTTTTTCTATTTGGACAAGAAGACTTGTACATCCAGAAGAAGAATCTTTTTCTATTTGGACAAGAAGACTTGTACATCCAGAAGAAGAAGAATTGAAAAAAAAGGATATAATATTATTGCCCAGGCAAGAGGTTTCCTTACTAGAAATGAATCTAGCGACTATCAATCTACAAAAACGGAAAATCCGGAAATTAGATATTTTACAAGTGCTTGGGATTATGATACGTCTGACGACATTGTATTCAAGAAAAATGGAAGTGTGAGCAAGATCCGCGCTGTAAAATTTACACGAAGCGGCGGCATTTACAGATCTAGCGAAGCATACGATAAGAATTGCGAAATCATACAAATGAAGATGTATGATGGGTCACTGCACTGGATTTTAATGCCCAAAAAATCTTCAGGAAGAAAAGATCTAATAAATTTGGTAAATTCCATAAACTGGTTAAATTTGCACTGCACATTCAGTGAAGATAAATCGAGTATTGTTCATATTCCCAAGTTTGTTATTGAAAAATCCTATATACCAAATCAAAATTATAAAAACAGTTGGCCTTTTATCGAGATTAACGAAGGAAAATCTGAAATAACGGAAGATGATTCCAAAGAGCAAGATGTTATTATCATCGATAAACCTTTCGTGTTTGTCAACTGTGACTGTGATGGATCAATACAAGAAATGGGAATGTTCTTGAATGTTAATGGTAATATTGATAATAATGATATTAATAAGCCATTTTTATTATTTATAACTGCCATAGGCTTTGTTACAGGATATTGGATACAAAAATATTTATCTGAATATAAATTTTTGAACTACTGGTGCAAATTGTTATTCTTTAATAAAAGTTAATAACAACAAATTTGATCCATATCCTTTTGCTGGATTGTCGATGTAAATAAATTTTTGATACAAGTGAGCGAGCTTTTTTTTTATGTGAAGTATTGGTGCGAGTGAATGTCTTTATACTGATAAAGGTTAATAATAACAAATTTGATCGATATAGTTTTACTGGATTGTCAATGTTTACTGTCTTTCAATACAAGCGAGTTATGTGAGTTATACTGATACATGTTATTTATTGATAAATAAAAACAACAAATTTAATCCATATTCTTTTATTGGTTATTAATACTAGCTTGTCACAAATGACCTCTGCATACACTGTGTGGCCGTGACAAGTTTATTATGCCTTTGTCTCAAACTTTCTAAAGCACAACATATTTCATGTATATAGTCTTGAATTTGTTTCTCCTTCATTTCCAAATCATGAATATGCTTCATCATCACCTCTTGTCGATTCTTCATCACTTCTAGTAATTTGCTATTGTGATTAGGACTGATACAAACATCATATTCCATGTCGTTAGACAATTCAAATTGAATTATTCGAGTGTCTGATTTGCCCTTGGAGTCTTCTTTGTTGGTCAGATGAGTGGGGTTGTTATTTTCTTCTTCTTCAGTAAGATCTATTATATTGAGATTAGGACATTTGACACTAGAGTACGACATCCTTATATAGATAGAACCTTAAAGGCGAATATGATAGTTGATAGCTTTGGTAGACGCTGTTGATGATGCTGATATTATAAAGCGTTTGCTCTGTATCTCATTCAACAGGATATGTACTCTCCTACAATGTTACGTTTTTTGCTTACACCCCCTCCTAAGAGAAGAATTTTTGTTGGTAGAGTCCGTAAGATGACCTTTCTCGTTCAACGGGATATATATATATATATATATATATATATATATATATATATATATATATATATATATATATATATATATATATATATATATATATATATATATAATATATATATATATATATATATATATATATATATATATATATATATATATATATATATATATATATATATATATATATATATATATATATATATATGCTCTCTCTTCGTATACTATTATGTTTTTACACTTAATCATCTTGGTGAAAATTGGAGCAGGAAGAGAGATATATCGAGATATTTTTGTGGCTCATTATCGATTATCAAAGTTAGACAAGAAATAATATTCTTTAGTCAAGGGAAGGGAGGGGGTGGGGGGTTATGGTAATATAAGTATAGAAATATACAAGTATGATGTCTAGAATAGTAAACATATCAATATAAGAATGTATAATAACCTAAAATCACTTAGTTATAAACCCAATATAATAAAATGGACTCTCCTCGGGATATACCAAAATAAGAAAAAAAAATAACAATGATGCTATTGACGTTGAAAATATAAGGATTGTAGAAAATGTATATATAAAAATACTATAAAAGATACGATTGAATATGTCAATGAAACCGATTAAAGCTATCAGATAAATGATAATATGTGATTTTATTTATTTATATAATTCAATCCAATACTGTATTCTTTAACTCTTTCTTGACTATATTTGGAAGAAATGATAACAATATTGTATTATTCCTTTATACTTTTTAACACATATACACATATAAACATACATACATATATTGTATTATGGGAAAATTAACTCTGGGATAATACATCTTCTCGAGTTGTCTTTTCCTTTTTATTTTTTCCTGATAAAATTTTTCGAATCCAGTAAATCCAGTCGGTATATTTTCTATTTTATAAGTAACTCCGGAGGATGTGTTTTCTATTAAATACTTATCAGCAATATATTTCCATACGAAATTGAACCCACAACACTCAGTATACATTATAGGGATATCACGATTATTATAGTAATATTCATATACTTCATCATTGAAGCCTATAAGAAATGGTATAATATTACTAAATATTTTACGTGTTTTATGTTTATGATTGATTTCTTTTTTATCTTTTTGGTTTAACATGTATTTTATAAATAATTTTCTCTCGAGTCGGTTTTTGATACTAATGTGTTCTTTCAGTTTTCTGAGAACCGATACGGGCAATATGTCCGCCCGCGCGGAATCGTTCCAGAGCGCTTCTCTGTTAACGGAGACGACTCCAAAACAGAGCTGTTTCAGTGAGGACGGCTGCCGCCGTCTCCATGGCGACGCCATATTGGCATTGTCACCTCCTTCTATAGCATTGCACGCTAGCATGTTTTCAAAGATAAAGTCGCGATCTTCCACCTCCCACGTTTCGTCAACCCCCATACAACAATAGAGGGAAGAATGGTCGTAATTAGATACGATATGATCGAGGAAGCGCTGAACGCTGTAGGTTAGAGTGATGCTGCTCTGAAAGGGTCCTCCTCCTCCTCCTCCTCCTCCTTTTCTTCTTCTTCCTCCTCCTCCTTCTTCTTCACCATCACCATCACACCTCCTTCCCGTCATAGTCAGAGCTTCGCTTCCGTTGTCAAAATAAATGATCTCCGCATAGAGGGGTCTGGAACCGCGATGCGTTCGTAGGAGCATGCAGAAATCGAGCGTGTCTCTCCTGTCGAGAATGTAGTACACCAAATCCACCGATTTCGGGTCGATCGAAAAGTTGCGCAGTTCCTCGTCCGTCCAGAGCGAGCGTTCTTCGTCGGGAAAGGTCAGGGTGACAAACTCGCTTCGATGCTCGCGGATAAACTTGTCATTATATCTTCCATAACGTTTTAATATTTCGCGCGAATAATCATATTTTTCTTCAGGAAAATATAGATATCCATATGTTATTGTAACAAATCTCGTATTATGTATTCCCGAACAGTGATTCGATATAAATGTTAACATTGTTACTGTTAGTATCCTTTATAGGGCTTCAAGTGTTTGAATTGGTAAAAAGAGTTATTATTTTAAGGTTAAAATGTTTATCATACCCCCTCACTCAAAAAATTTCATCACTTGTATTTTCTTTCTAAAAAAAAAAAAATCGAATCGACATTTTGGAAGAAATGTTTAGCATCATCAGAATAACTATCTAACATCGAATTATTCACTATTGATTATTTCCACAGATGGAAAAGAAACATTGGGGTAAATTCCCATCTCGAATTTCCTTTTTATCTGTAAGAGTTTTTGATGATAATTCTCGAGATGTTTTTTTTTCGAAGGTTTGTAAGACTTGGAATATTTTTCAGCAATATATTTCCACACCATATTGTTGTTTTCAATAAAACTCCAACATAAATCATCATCATCTTCATTATCAAAGTTAAGCAAAATATTACAATCTGTATAATACTGGATACCGTAATATGGTATGATGTTAACAAAAATCTTGAATATCATTGATGTTGCTATATGTTCCGATGGACTATATATTGTTATCGATGCATTCTTTCGCATGTCCGTTAAAAACACTTGTCTCTCTTTTAGATTCAAGATATTCAGTTGCCTGTCAATCAATACGGGCAGGACTGCACGCTGGGAATCGCCCCAGAGCGCCTCTCTACGACCGGAGAGGATCCCGCGACACAGCAGTCCTAGCTGCGACGATTGGTGACACAGGCAGTTCAGCGCACTACAATTGTCGCTCCAGGATCTCCGTAATTTTGTGTTA